GAGGAAGTTGCAGAGACGTTAACATTTTCACTGCAGTTTTCCTCTGTGTCAACTTGCAGGAGGAGTCATAATGTTACCAGTATTGGCATCCACAGTAAAGAGGTCCACCCTCGCTCCCAGCAGGCGGTACTTCACCACAGCATTGGGTCCAATGTCTTTATCCTCAGCCAGAACCGGCCCATTCAGCACTGTTACTGTACTGCCTAAAGGACGGAAAGAGATGAAGATAGGGACAGGTGGAGAAAATCAGAGGCGGATTACATTTTTTTGTAATACCAAGTCACTTGCCAACTGTTGATGTGTCTACCAATTTAGTGACATTGACTTGAATCTGGGCAAATGCCTGATAACTGATAATCACAGAGGCTATGACTCATATTCTGGATCCAAATAGTCCAATTGAGAAGTCCATTACAAAAGTTTGAAGTTATCTCACCTCTCAACATTCAGAGTGAAATAAAAATCACTTAACATGAGCCATGTGTAAACAAAGTCAGGAAGTAGGTCAGACAAGATTTCAGAAGGTGTTTTGACACAGTGCTCTGTGATGCAGTTAGAGATTGCCTGCACTCAAGGTAGAAGAGAAAGACAGACACACCAGCTTGGATGCTACCTGCTGCAGAGTTCTCAGTGATTTCAGCCCTGTAGCTGCTCCGGGTGAATATAGGCCTGTTGTCATTCTCATCCAGAATAGTTATCACCAAGTGGTCTGAATCCTGGTGTAGTGGGGGAAAGAGGCGGATGAAAAAACAATTATATTATGATTATATATAAGGATTGTGTGGTATAGCATAAAGATGAGAATGAGAGTGAGGAGGAAGGAAAAATAAGTAAATTAGCTCATAAGAGGCAAATTGTTACAAAGCTGAAGAATATACAGGTTTTGCAGTTGTGCAAAACCTCAACAGGCTGCTTTTATAGTCACAGTGGTCGACTTGTTTGCAGCTCTATGATAAAACAGTTTCTCACCTTTCACACACACAGGAAACATTTAAAGCATGCTGCATTACAGGATTTTGCAGAAAAACTTTGCAACTGCATTGTGGCTACTATCTGATTGTTTTAGTTAGTAAATGAAGTGTGTGAGATTTTTCATTTTTACTAGAATACAGAACACATAGGGCCACGAAACCGGGTCAAAAACTACAATAGTACTAAAAGTATGACAGGTTATCAGTGTAAATGACTAAGCAGATACATAAACAGATTTGTCCTATTTCTCTTATTATTGCAGTTTGTTGTAATTTTATGAAATGAGCTTCTGGTGCAGAGACTCCTACATATTTAATGACTACTGTGTATTGCTCTACTTAAAGTAATGACACGTGGCTGTGTGCAGCTCATTCACATTATGGTCACAGACTTTTGGATTGGTACATTTTGAACCTAGAAATTCAATATTGCCTAAAGCTATGAATTCCCCGAAAGCCGACATGAAAAGATACAAGGTTTTATGTCACTGGCAGTGATTTACGATTGTGTCGGTATGCTTTATGTGAAACTGTCTATGTGGAAACATGTGTGAGCGCTTGCAGTTTACTTGCACAGGAGAGTGAGTTTACCCTGCGAGCGATGCGGGGGTTCTCTGGGTTGTCTTTCACAGTGATGGTGAGTTTGTACTCAGCCACTCGCTCTCTGTCAAGCGGTCTGTTCACCTGCACCACACCTGTCTGAGAGATGCAGAGAGGAAGCGCTAAGTCATGTGTGTGCATAGACATCCATTCTTGTGTTACAATTTGTTTATTAACATATTACCTGTGTACAACCTTGTAATACTTCAGTATATATCTTTTTCCTTCTATAGAGGACATGCAGTATTTGTATACACTGTGATATATTTATGTTAAATCCACAATTGTGTTAATGCCAAAATCTGCTGATCTATAAATGTATCTGTAGCAAGGGTATATAAGCACTAACACCTTCCCAAGTCAGGTTAAACTAGCCGCTTAAAGTGCAATCAAATCTGGAAGGTGACAGTCATAAGCCTAACACTTCTAATGTTCTTAATCTTTTTTTTTTTTTCCACATTTACCACATCAGTAAGTCGTATTTTTCTGTGTTTTCTGCTTAAACCACACCATCCTTTTCTCTCACTGTGTCATTGATGTAGAAGGCTCCATCGTGGTTGCCAGCAGTGATGTTATAAGTGAGCAGCGCGTTGCGTCCGCTGTCCGCATCGCGTGCTCGCACTCTGGCCACAGAGGTGTGTATGGAAGCGCCCTCGCTCACACTGGTGTTGTAAGGCAGGTTCAGGAGGACTGGGTCATTGTCATTGATGTCTAGGACATGGACCCCCACCACCACCTGAAGTAAACACAAGTCAAGTCAGAAATAAAATGTCTGATTCATATCTGTTTATGGTAGCATTCCATAGGCCTCATTCAGTTGGACTATTTTTAATAAATATGAAAAGATGTATTTTGCCACACAATTTCTTACAAACTCATCAAAAAATTAATCAAACAGTTGATTAGCAGTTGCAGTCAGACATGTAAAATCACACTTGCTTTAATTGCCACACCATGTATAGGCCAAGGCTCCTTTTTGAGATTTATTGTAGGTTTAACTGCCAGGTGAGGATAATGGATTTGATAGAGAGTGGTACTATTTATAAATTTGTAGGAAATGAAAGTATTCAATTTATGGTTATTTTCCATAAAAGCGAAATCACAGCAGAGAAGTGAAACTTAGAAGATCTGTTCAAGACGATATTGGTGTGTGTGTGTGTGTTCGCATGTGCGCGTGTGTGTTCGCATGTATGTGTCTTTATATAGTAAAGGCCCACCGAGCTGTTGCGAGATGGGGTGCCCAGGTCTCGGGCTGTGACAGTGATGTTGTAGAAGGCCGTGGTCTCTCTGTCCAGCTCTACATCCTTCCTCACACGAAGCTCGCCCTCCACAGGAGACACCATGAACTCATCTGACAGAGAGACAGAGGAAGAGGCTCACAGGTACAGGATTTAATAATACATCACTAACCCCCATGGAAAACCAATCCGGTACTAACTCTGCTGATCTCCACCGGTGATGCTGTACTCCACTTTGCCGTTGAGCCCAGAGTCTTCATCACTGGCTCTGAGTGTCCAGACCCGAGGTCCTGGCTGGCCCTCAGTAACATCGAAGGGTCCCTCATAGGCTTTGGGGAAAGTGGGTGTCACATCGTTCACATCTAGGACATTTACGAGCACCTAAAGAGGGAGGAAGAGTTTTTAACACCTTCATCTAGAGAGTGGTCATTTAAAAAAAAAAAAAAAAACTCTGAAAAAGTGTGCCTTATTTGCATCATTACTGTTGTGCTAGACGTCAAGCTTAGAGCAGGGTTTAGACACTGGTCTGTTGCTGTGACAACCAGTGCGTAGTGTCCATTGCTGATCTCATAGTCCAGCTCCTTCACCGCAGTAATTCTCCCCTAAATACACAAATCATACACAGAAGGTTAACTTAGTTTTTTTTTTGCTGTTGTTTGTAACACTACAGTATACTAGTTTTCATGGCTTACTGTGACGCTGTTGATATGAAAGGTTTGGATCAGGTTGCCATGGGCAATAGCATATCGCAAGGTGCCGTTCAGTCCCTCATCTGGGTCGATGGCTGTTACTGTGGCGATAGTGGCACCCACTGTGTCTGGTCCCTCGCTCAGCACTGTGACATACTCCTCCTCAGGAAACTCTGGGGCGTTATCGTTCTCATCCACAATGTGGACATTGATGGTGGTTGAGGTCTGTGAGAGACATGGAAAAACGTTTACAGCTGTGTTGACTATTTATGGCTTATTGTATCAATCTCGACTGAAAATATGTGATTCACTTCCAGCACAGGGTGCCAGCTGGGCCTGCAAGTGAGTCTAAATTTGTAAACTTGTAGTCCATTCATCATTATAACGTTAAGAGATTCTCCAGTGATTTATCACACATATCCGTGATATATATAAATGCCAACTCGACAAAAACCGCATATCACCATTTGTTATTTTACAATAATGACTTAACAATAATATCTTGTCAGTCAAATTTTCAAACCATCTGTTTTTTTTTTTTACTTTTCATGCTACATCTGCCCTAAATCTTACACTGTTCACTTCCAGAATGATTAACAAGGTTTTCTGCAAGAGAGGAATCATACTACTGTCTTCATTTATGACACGTATATGTGGGGATTGCTTTAACATGGGAGAATGGGAAATGACGGTTGAAGCATATTTTGTTACAGACATATTGAAAAAATATCTTGTGAGAACTGAAAGGAAAGCTTAAAAATAATTGAGGCGGAGAGAAGACGCTATAAGTCGGCCAAAAGCTCTGATTTCCTGTCACTTCGTCTGCTCACTTCGGGGGAAAAAAATAAAACCAAAACAAAACCACTACAGTAGTGCATCCTAAAGAAAACCACTTTGTCAAGCCACTGACAGATTCTGATACATTACAAAGGTAAAAGCAATATAATAAATTAAAGGTAGAGCATTGGGCCATTCCTGTTCAACCAGTCTAACATCTGAGCATAGACCAACTGACTGGCATTGTGCTGGTTAAAGAGGCCGTTGGAGCAAGTCAGACCACTTTAATAACCGTGGCTCTTCAGGAGCCTTTTCAAGTCAGATTAAAAACTCATTGTGCTTGTGCTTGAAAATTTTAAATTATAACAACGCTCTCAGTGTTTGCAAGATACTGGCATTAACCATAGGAATGAAAGAAATTATCAAGCAGCATTATGGGAATTAGAGGATCCAGTGTCTTTTCAGTGTGATACGTTTGAGGCAGGATATTTGAAGCTTTGCTGCATCAGTGATTACAATTCTTTTAAAAAATCATACAATCACCTTATAGAGGACTCAAACGTATAGAAGTGAGGAAAAATTGTTTTTCTTTTCTGTGTACTAAATATTTTGGAGAAAGTCTTTCTGACCTCTGCCACGGTCATGTGGGTGGAGAGTCTGACAGCAGGGGGAGGAGCTTAGAGTTACGTATCGCACGTTCCTCAGGCGTTTCAAAGTTCAGCAGCTCAAGTCAAGTTAGAGACGGAGTGACAAGCGGCTGTCAACCAACTCTCCGTGTCGGTACCATTGTTATCCTAGTTAAAGTGTGAAGGGAGAACAAGTTTAACGGAGGCTTCGTGTAGAGTCCGGTCTGCTGCTTCTCTGCTCAACATCAAGTCAACCATGGAGGGAGGATTACCTTATCGGACATCACTTTCGCGAAAGAAGTTCATGCTTTGGCTTTGCTCTGCTCTGTTTTCCATAGCTGGAGGTGAGAAACCCAGTCTGACACCCATCTTCTCCACACTTGTTCTTTCACTGACTGATCAGACTGTGACGGGCGTGTGCCGACTTGTTGACAGTTTTCTTTTGGGGACAAACAAACAGACTGAATTCGCTGATGGCAAAGATTTTTTGTTGTTTGTTTTCCGCAAGTAACGTAACGTAAAGTAAAGTAAAGTAAAGTCAAGTAAAGTAAAGTCAAGTCAAGTCAAGTAAAGTAAAGTCAAGTAAAGTAAAGTATGGATGTATACAAGCAAAAATTGTTCCGACACACCAGTACACAGAAGACCATATCAAATGTATAAGACAGGCCTGATATAACATCTAACCAGTTTATTTTACAGGAAGTCTAGGTGGTCTTTAACCCTAGCCTAAACCGTGTGATAAACAGACCCATAGCACACGCTATCTTTAGTACCCCACGTTTTTAACCTGTTTTTCACTTTTTCCTTTTTTTTTTTGTCTATTTTTTTTATCAGTGTTTTGAGAAACAGCTGCATGTCTGCCGCACATGCATGTTGCCGCTGTAAAAACTGTCGGGAGTGAACACAGTGTGTTTGTGTTCTGTTGTTGTTTTGAGATGGAACATCTGGTGAGAAGCTGTTTTAAAGCTGCTCCCTGGGGATAAAGTGAAGTGTAAATCCACCTTAAACTCACCCTTTATGACATAGCCGCAAACTGAGAGAGCGGTCTTTCATGTTCTTATACGGGCCAGAAATGTACACAACCTGATAAAGATTATTTAATCAAACATGGCATGTTGAAACACCGCTGTGCTGGATGAGTTTGGTCAGCTATAGGTCGGTTATCGGAGTTTATCCACTCACTTATTGCATCCTTTTCACACAGTTGTCTTGTGTGTTCATGGGGTGGTGTAATGAAATGCAGGGATTTTTATTTCAAGGACGTTCAAGGCATGGCTTGAGAGTTGAGGCCAGTGACGCTGGAGGAGAGAGGAGAAGCAGCTGTTGCCTCCGGGGCGCAGGGTGCTTCACTTCAAACACCACTGAAGGTTATCAGTTTTCGGCTCTAGGATTTGGTCTCTTTAGATAAGCTCACACAATAAGTCCGTCAAAGGCAACAAGTGATGTTAACTGAACTTTTAGACTGACTCACCCTCGACAAAAATCCTAATATATTGTTCAGAAAATTTTTGTATACAAAAAGATAATAAGAGATATATTAAAAAACAAAAATCAAATACATTTTAGCTCAGTTTTAAAGGCATTGTCATTTATTTATGCAGGCCAATAAAACTCCAAAGCTCCAATAAAAGCCCTAAAAGGCTGAACACTCAGAGATCCACTGTGCCCACCCTTCAGCCCAGTTATGTCTTCTTTGTTTGGAAGTTTCCTTCCTTTCAGTCTGTGATGAAAACAGCTGTTTGTGCCACTGCCAATAATGGGCTTCTCCTCCACAAAACATGACTTGAGATAAACAGAGCAACAATCATTGCTCCTTTTCCTTTCAGTCTAGATAAGCATTTAGCTCACAATGAAGGACAAAGCCACAGTCAAAAATGGTCAATGGACTCCACAGGATGCGAACCCTCTTACTCTATCTCCACTGCTTTCTCCTCCTGTGTTGCCAGAGCTGGCATCGTGCATTGATCCCCATCCTAATTGAATAAATCATTATTTGAGCACAGCAATTAAAAATGTCTTCCTGGATCAGTCTCATCGACAAGAACAGGCCTGACCAGGGAGACACAGTCAGCGAGCGCGTTGATGAGTAGCAGTTGTGTGGGCACATACTGCATGTGCATGAGCAATAAGGAGACAGAGGAGGAGGGGGAGCTCCCTTCTTCTTCTGTGATTTTTGTGGGTATAACCCTTTTAGTGATATGACAAACATTTGTAGCTAAAGTTTTTGTGCCTGATGTTTAATATGCAGCAAAAATGAGTATGTATGAATGAAGTAAAAAAATCCCCAAACACCAGTGGCCTTCAGACTTCTAGTAAGGATGTGTCTTCCACTTGGGTGATTCTCTGAACAGCCCAAGGATACAGCATTGACCACCACTGATAAAGCTTTGACTCTGCTCCTAGTAACCACAACAGGAAAAGCAACCCAATGTGCTTCAGTTAGTAAAGCTATAAAACATTTAACTATAACAGAAGCAGAATTACAATTTAACTACAGCACAAAATGCTTTTTAAAGTGAAAAGCAGGAAGGGCCCAAAAAGAGGAAACAGTCAAAGTGCATGAAGTCAGTTTGTTAAAGGTTGTAATAATATCACTTTAACTACAGTTTCATAAGTAGAGAAAGGCCCATTTACACTTTCGACATGACAGTTAAATGACAGAACTGTGTTGTAATTATGTCGAAAATATACTTACAAAGCTACCATTACACAACCCTTAACACATATAACTTTGTTTATGATGTAAATTTAGAATAAGAAAAAGAGGAAGGTTGTGTCTCTGACTGACTTGTCCACATTTATTAAATAGCACAAATCACAAATTGGCTTAAAAAGTAATGAAAGACACAAAAAATTATCCTATTCAGATATCATGGATCCCTGAACATGTTTTAACTATTTCACTGACCCTTAACCACATCCTTTCATGACTAGGAAGTGTCACATTTTAGCACTTCCTATTAATTAAAACATGTTTGATGCATTGTTTTGTGATGCTAGGAGCATCAAGTGAAACCCTCTTTCTTTCTGTGTGTGTGTATGGAGGAGCTAATCTGGGATCCTCCTGCTGGTTTCATTAACACCCTGTAATGGGTTGGATAATCATTACCATTACAGTAGGTACAAAAAGGGTGGGATCTGAGTTGTGTGTGTGAAGAAGCAACACTTGTACAAACACAGGTAGAGAATTTGCGCAAGTGAAAGGATACCAGATTTACCAGTAGGGTATCTTCATAAACCTGTGTTTTAATTGTAGTATCTAATAATAAAAAAATACTGTACTCTGCAGAAGCATGGTTTAAGTAGTAAAACTTGGGAGAAATGAAGAGAAGCTATGCTGCTAGTCTGAATTTCAGAAAAAAAAAAAGCTGTCATAGGCAACATGTCCTTAACAGGTGGCACTCAGGGTTAAAACAAAGGAGGGCCCTTAGGGGCTATCAGGATCCTGAGAACAGAGATCAGAGGAGGTAACTTAGATCTATAATAGAGCCAAAACACAGATGTCTGGTGTATGCATGCAACTGGAAGATATTCTGTCTGCAGCAGAGACAGAGCAATGCTTGCTGTCTGTTTTTACCTGGTTGCAACCACATCAAGCTCAGATAGTGCTGACACTGTGGTAACACCACCCACCTGGCACCGAAGACAAATGCTAAAAGAAATGATACCCATTGTCTCCAAATACTCCTTAAGAAAAGTCTGGTCATGTCAGTAAGCTTTATTTGATATACATTTAATGTGTATAAGGGTGTTTCCCAGCTGGCAGCTGAGGAGATAATCAACTTTTGGCTCTTAAAGAGCAATACTAAGGCAAAAGTTAGCTATGTTTAAATGTATATTTAACATACAAGGAAAACTCTCCCTTGACAGAAATCTATCTTCACTAATGTAAATAGGACGAGATAAACTGGGTTGGAGAGTTGGCAAAGTAAAATGGGCCGAGAGGAAGGCAGGGTGGGTGTGAAACAGGAGAGGAGAAGGGCTTCCCCTCCTATTGTCCCACTGCGCGGGCAGGAACAGCCACAGGGGCAACAGTTTCACTTTAATCACCCTCCCTGGTCTTCCTATTGCTTTTCCTGACACACAACGGCCAGTGCAGAGTTCAGCAGCACACACGGTAGCATGGCACGTACCTCTTACTCTGCCACACATACACAGGATGCTGCACATATTGTATATACAAACATGCACAGCTAATCAAAAGGTAAAGGTCGTTGGCTGGTGAGCTACTGTATTTCCCATTAACAAGACTGTAAACCAATCACTTAAAGCTAGTATTGACATTTAGACTAAAACAATTTATGTGCTTCCTCATTTATATTCTGCTGCCCCCTCAAAAAAAATAGTGGTAGTGCATGAGCTCTCTATGGGTTTAATCTCCCATGTTGCTGCCCTATCTGTCACATAGTGTGTTTTGCCTTTGACAGCAGATGGAAGAAAAATCCACTGAAATCATTACCGATTGGGAAGCTGGTGGGGGTGCAACCTGCTTGAATTTTTCAGGCCATAAAGAGCTGTGCAGCAGCAGCTGTAGCCCTTCAAAGTTTTGGAGTATTAAGGAGCCAGACAGGAGGAGGAATGGGAGTCGTGTTCGCGTGCTGGGACAAGTCAGGAAGGAAGTCCACTCCTCAAATCCTGGCACTGACCAGTTACCCTCCAAACATACACACACATACACAAAACCTCTGACTGCATCCACACACAGTTGCATGCATACTTCTCTTTCACTACCGTCCACCCCCTCACACACTTGCAGTTCACATGCAGCCTTCCTGTGTTTGCAGTGCTAAGCATTCATGGATGCAAAACCACACAGCAATCTGTAAGAAAGGATGGTAATGATCTATTTAAGTAGAGAAAGCCAGAGTAACAGTTGTTCTGTTGCTTTACATGCTGGCTATGTGGGAGTCATTCATTATGTGTGTTGATGCTGCACTATAGCTGCGTAGTGTGGGTGCATTTGATAGATTATGTGCTGTATGCATTTTTTTTTTCCTTGGCAAGGCTTAGATGAGGGCTTCAGGATGCTCAGCCTGAGGATATGTTTATTTTGTTACTCCAATGAAATAATCATTCGGAGCACACATTAAAGAGTTTATCTATTTGTGCATTCCATTGCTGCACTAAAGTCAGAACAGGATGTGGTTGCGACTGAGAGCGGGAGAATGGTTTCTGCAACATGTTAAGAGATGCTTCACAGCGTCAATGTACAGTCTTCTAAGAAATAAAGGGCCATTTCATCGCAGTCACTGGGTAAGGACACCACGTAGCAATAGTGGTGTGGCTGAAAGTGGTCAAACAGAACATCAGTCACATTTCTACACTACCTAGCTTTATGGCTAATGAGATGTCACATGAGATCCTGTCTGTATTGGCTAGTATCTCTCTCTCTAGTTGTCTGAGAGGACCAGGCCATTAAACTCCCAAAGGAGGTTGGTATATTTAATTACAAACCAACATACAGAACAGGAAAGACACTGTGTTGACCCAAAGTGCACAAAAACCAGGAAGCATGAAGTGTGCAGAAATAGGGCGTGGAAAATTGTTTGACTGTGGCTTTAAACTCATGTTTAGATTGGTAGTTGCTAAAATTACTTTTTGCCCTGTGGTTATTTGTGCTATGACTGGTGGTATGAGGCAGGAGCTTCATCCCACTCAGTTTCTACCGAATAATATGAACTGTGGTTTACCATGCAATTTCATGCTTAAATATATTACCCTATGATATCAGGGCTATACCTTTATAAAAACTCTAATCTCCCATATTCAAAGAAACTGAGAGAAAGATGGGATTTTGCAATTAACATCATGATGCACCTGCAGTAGAATAGATGTTTCTATATTATTAACAAGTTATTAGAAATTAAGTTATATTACTAATAAAATATTGATGTTGGCATTTATGTTTAACTCTTTTAACTTTGTTTTGTTCCAGTTATACAGAGATGTTTCATACATTTTCTGAATATGAATCTCTGCCACTGCTTTCAAAATAAACTAACCAAACATGTGACTACAACTTTTTTTTTTTTTTTTTTTTTTACTTAACATACTCCCTTCTTTCTTTTGGGGTTTTCTTTATCATCTGTAATATACTGTGTATAGGATTTGTGTTCCCTGGGTTGAACTTCTCAGGCACTTCCCTTAATTTCCACTGCATATAAATCCCACCGACTTCCTAAGGATTGGCAGACTTCAGTCCTAACCACAGTCATAAGCCAAAATCTGAACATCTCTAACCTAATGTAATCTGATCCTTCAAGTCAGAGATTGGTAGAGCTTGTTTGTGGTGCTATATAACCAGGAAGGAAGGACTGTCTGAGAGGTCTAACTCAGGAAACAAAAGTTGCTATAAACTGTGTACGTGTTAATTACATTCTTCCATATTTATCTTTTCTTTCTAGGCAAAGGTGAGATCCCCCATGCCCATCCCACAATGAGTGTTTCAGTCCCCCACCTGTTCTACACCTGTCCCGAGGGTGCAACCGTCAAACTGGTGTGTGCCCAGAGAGGTGCTGCCTTGCACCCCACTGATGTCTTGAAGCGCAGCTGGCGTTTTACGCCCCATAGTGATCAGCACTGTTTGGGAAGAGAGGGCCCACGCCATACTTTCATCAGTGGTCATCCCCATGGCAACCACAGCTTGCTGCCAGGGTTGCAATTTGGACATTCAGAGCAGAATTTCTGGGTGGTTCTGCAGAACGTGACCCACGCTGACCAGGGTCGCTACTGCTGTATGATCCTAGACGTCCAAGTGGTAAACAAACATCCCTCCCTGCTGCAGAAACCCCACAGCCATATTGTTCTCCAAGTTACACCACGTAAGGACACTAAATGTATTAATGTGAATGTAAAAGGACAGACTAGCAGGGGGAGAAGTTAGTAAAAAAGTCATAATGTCTTTGTGAAGCTGTTAAGTAGAACAAGCTCATTATGTCAGTTTCTCTCGATCTATGTGATGTGGTCTATGATTAATCATTGTGTACTTCAACTTGAAATGTCATACGCTATGGTGAATAGATTCTGTTGCATTCATCATGCAGAAACCAAAACCACTGCTATGTTGTTATATACTGTGTGCGATAAACAATGTCTTTGTTCTCTCTTTCCAGGGAGAAATGGATCTCAAGCTTGCACTGTCTGGGATCCCACACCATCTGGAGGTATATTACATAATTCAAGGCTTCATAGCCAGTGGATGCCTGGCCAGTTATTCCATTTATTTAACTTTCTGTTTCTCTGTTGTTTCCCCAGGCACTGTGCCAGTGGCCTTGGCCATAACAGCCTGCATCGTGGCTCTGCTCGCTCTGCCTCTCATTCTGGTGCTTGTGTACAAACAGAGGGAGAGCACCCAGTCGAGCAGACGTACGTATTGCTGATATGCACAAACAAGCACACACATGCTATGGATCAGATATAAATCTCTTACACTCTGTCTCTCATAGTCTTTTTCCTGACTCATGTTTCCTGTCAGTGAGGCGGATTAACTGTATTTTACACAGACGGAAGCACATTCACCCTGTATCTGTAGTGTTCTGCTCAATTCATTCACAATAGCCCATTTCCCGTTTCCTCTCTCCCAGGTGCACAAGAGCTGGTGAGGATGGACAGGTACGTTTTCCCACAGTATGTCACACAGCTGATCACACAGGCCGGCTTCCCAGCTGCTCTATAGAATAACAATACTTCTACATGGATATTCTACTACTGTATCTAGTGGCCACAACATTTTGCACACAATAGGTAGTTTCTTCCAAACAACTGCAGTATATTAAAATCTGTTAAAGCTCTGCTGGTAATTCCTATGAACATTTGTTTGCAAAAAAAAAAATCTACATATAGGTTTGAAACATCTATGAACCATTACTAAATTCACCCAGAACACTGCCAGGATTTTCTGGCCTTTATACCATATGTAATGTTGAGTGTCAGTGGGGTGTATTTTGTGGGAAATCTATTGAATTACTTGCCCAGGGAGTCTACATGTGTTATAAACCATTTAATACACTCAACCCATTTTGGTACAATGTTTAGTGTTCATTACAGAGTGACAAACATCAAGTTTACTGCTAGACAAATGACACGTAAAGCTTCTAAATGTCTTGAGCAACCAAATGAGTGTTGCAACCGTTTATCTGTAATTTCTTACTCATCTGTATGCTTCCCTTTCTTTTCTGTATGTGTGCATCTGTGTGTATGTTCAGTGAGGCCCATGGCCACGAGAACCCGGTGTTTCTTGCGGGATCACCACAGATTAAGACCAGAACTGTTTCTCAGATCATGACCAGACAGTCGTCTGAGACAGGACGCCACCTGTTGTCTGAGCCAGGAACCCCTCTTTCTCCTCCTGGACATGGGGATGTATTCTTCCCAATAGAAGGTAGGACACACATACACAAAACTATACATCATGACAACACAACAGCAGCTTATACTACAGGGAACAGGCTCAGACAGCAAAACCGATATAAGGGACATACAGTAAGACAGGACACAATAGCCGTCTACTGATGAAAAACACTAAATCACTCAGCACAGGCTGGGACATACAGTTTTCTCTGTTTTGTTCAGCTTTTGCCCCTTAATCTCCCTCTGACCGACACCATAACCCACACAAAGATGAGTGTGAGTCTCACTCTTAGGAGAGTTCATTTACACATCTGAGTGGGTGCTTGTCACATTCTGAATGTGTACACCCGACTCCCTTTTTTTGATACTCACATGATGCACAATAGTGGCACGAAACTATATTACACAAGGACATAGTTCTGGAAGTACCTATTTCAAAATGTACAGTTTGGTAAAAGACTGATGCAATCTATGAGCAACTGGCTTTGTGTGCGTCTGCTGAAACATCCTGCATCAGTGGTGATGCTGGCGGAAAGATGCTCACATTTGTGTGCATAATTGCATGCATTACATTCAACACAGCTGGGCTGTCTTTGTGACTAAGAAAAAAAATACACTGTATCGGGAGTTTAACTTCTCTCTCCCACACAACTGAAACCACCTCCTTTTGCTGTCATCTCCTGAAGACTTGTCTCGCCTCCCTCGCAAGTCATTCTCCGCCCATCAGCACTCTCGTTTAACACTAATGGCCCCTTCAGCCGTTCTCTCAGACTCAACTTGAAATAATATTGAAACATTAGTTACGGTGAAGGGGTTCAGTCCTGAGTGTTTTTCTACCGATTCCCGGGGCACCTGTGCAGACATTCCAGGCATACTGAGGTGGATTGCCCCGTTTTCTGGAAGCACACGCTCAGAAAGGACAGAGCCAGGCTTACTGAAAATCCACCCTAAACCATCACATATGTTATCCCTATGACCTTGAACAGTTAAGCGCGCAAACATGGGCAAATCTCAGAAACATGTGAGAACTGACAAACATGAGGTAAAACTAGGCCACAGCCACTAACACGAGCCCAAATTGAGATGCTAGAGTTTTGTTTGTACCCACATTGGATTCTGGTAACATAAGAGAGCTCTGGTGGCTGAATCTTTACAGCATATGCCACATAACCGCAACCTCCATGTTTCAGCTTTGGCTGTGGACCTTTGTTGTACGTTGCACCCTTCTCTCTCCCCACCTCTTCCTGTCTGCCTCTTCACTATCAAATAAAGACAAGAACATCAAAAAATGATATATATAAAAAGGAGAATTCTGGTAATGTCACTAGCAGGAAGGCCCATGCTTACAGTAAGTGACAGATGGAAACTTCCAATGGCATCTCAGCTTGCAGTTATGTAAGTTGAGATGCCATCAGTTTCCAAATACTGACAACACTATTACAAATTATAGAAAAAACACAGTATCTTTAACTTTTGTCAAGATGGATTTTCCCTGCCAAAGCTCATTTTCTTCACTAGTCTACCATGCAGTACACAGCCTGGTTTCCTGTCTGAAGTTTCATGTTACGTTGGATAAAAGCCACACTTCAGCTTTTTTCTTCATCTTTTTAGACCCACTGACCTTAAGCTGAGTGGAATTTAACTAGCCGCAGTTCCCTCTTATCTTAAACATGTCGCAACTGAGACTTACGACCTCTTGTTCTGCTTTTTAATGGGTTTCCAACTAAACACATTTTATTCCCCGAATTCTAAGTGTTTCTGTACCGTCGTACTGTTCCATGGGGTAGGAGGTTTGGAAAAAGAAATGCTGTCGTGTGTCTTCTGTGACATCTGTCTGCTTTTTGGGCAGGAAGTGTAGTTTTGAACTCCCACACATTTAAATTAGCACGTCAGCACAAGACAAGAAATGTGCATTTGTGCAGGCTGATACATGTGGATTACCTGTTATCATCTCTGTGCTCCGGCTGACCTGCACTTTTCTTTATTCCAGATACCATCCCAGAGTCTCCAGACTTCCTGCAGGTTTAAAGGGGGGGGTGGGGTGAAACCTCATTCGTTGCTCTAACTGCTGACCTGGAAACACTTCTGCATCTCTCTTCCTCCTCTCTCTGCCTTCAGAGCAATGTTTCTCTCATGAGCTATCTCACAATAACCTCTGCTGGGATTGTCATTGTACATTGTCTAGACCGCAGGAGGGAATGGATTATTTCCACCTGCAACAACAGCTGGAGGCCAAAAGCAAACTTTTGCTTGTGAGCAGTTGTGTTGTGTTGGCGGCTGGGTTTGTGTGTGATGCTCCATCTAAACGCTCTAAACAGCTTGTTTACCAACAGGCGCATTAGTCTGGTGGGGTTCACTGCTTGAGATGAACTCAGAGTGCTGAGGGTGGGGTTTTGCTCTGTTGTGCAGGGGTGGCATGTGAAACCGTTGCTGTGGACTCTGAAGCACCTTGCACATATATATGTTGTTTGGTACAGTTCAAACATTCTACTCTTTCTAATTTGGCAGTTCCTGCACAACCACACAGTGATAGACCACCCCCACCCTCACCCCCACCCCCACTGCTGAGGGTGGGGTTTTGCTCTGTTGTGCAGGGGTGGCATGTGAAACCGTTGCTGTGGACTCTGAAGCACCTTGCACATATATATGTTGTTTGGTACAGTTCAAACATTCTACTCTTTCTAATTTGGCAGTTCCTGCACAACCACACAGTGATAGACCACCCCCACCCTCACCCCCACCCCCACCCCCACCAAATTATGTTTACATGTTTCACTTCAACCGTAATTTGTTAAGTCAGTGAGAGCACAAACTGGACTGGAACTATCAAACAGCCTTGTATCATTACTTTGAACTGAACCAAAGTCTGAAAGCGAACCTCAGGCTCCCTCTCATCCCTGTCACTGTAATAACGGGTTCTAATAGTGTCAAACCCAAGGGGGCTCAATCGTAAGAGAAGTCAGATTATTCTTGTGCAAGTTGACATTTGTTGTTTTATGGCATTACACTGTTCCTCTGTATCATCTCCACTTTGCTTCTTTTTTTTCTTCCCTCTGTTCTTCTCTCGCTACCTCAGCTCTGTTGCTCTAAATACTCTCCTTCCTTCCTGTACTTTCTGAAACAAAGCACTTCACAGTGGCTTTAAATAATTTCATTAAGTGCTGAAAATGTCAGTAAGTACAGTATTTAGGAAAAAAAAATTGTTGGTTCATTTTTATATAGTTGATGATTGTCATTCATGCTTGTGTACAGTGTTGCTAAATATGAATAAAATGTTTATTGCCTCTCTATTGAGCCAAATAGATTTAAAAAACAAAAACACAACAAAAAACAAAACAAAATAAAACACCACCAAAAAGTCAGTTTTATCACTGCCACCACAATGCTGTTTTGTAAACAATTGTATTTTTTCTTGGGATGTGTAGATTAGTCTTTATTCTTATTTTTGTGTGCAATGGGACTGTAAAAAAATGAAATACTATTTAGCACATGTAAGAAAGAATGGCTTTGAAATGATAACCAAAGATTCATAATATTAAGGTAGATTAAAGGAGGATGAGAAGTTATTGCAATCAATAAAATGTTTAGTCAGATCACTTAGTCTGTGAGTGATTGTGTGAAACCACTGGTGGTTCTTTCACATCGAGGTAAAATGTAAAGCAGGTGCCTAAATGGAAATGATCTCCTCTTGATGTGTAGCAGGTGTATAGGTCAGGGTATTATGTATGTATGTTTATTTTTTACTCTTCTTTTGAAGATTTGAATATTTTGAGTAGTCAGTGTATGAATAATTATATTTTTAAATGTGCCCATGTGCCTGTTTATATGTGTGTGTGTGTGTGTGTGTGTGTGTGTGTGTGTGTGTGTGTGTGTGTGTGTGTGTGTGTGTGTGTGTGTGTGCTTTCAAATCTAGGGTTACAATTTCAAAAATAATTTGTAGGTCAGCTGCTTTGCGATGCTTTGTGGTCAGGTTTAAATATATGTGCATATGTGTATGTATGCATACAGACATACACACAGAGTTTGCTTTATACATTGCATCGAAATTCTGTTGGTTGTAAGTTGTATAATAAAGTTGAGCTCTTAAACATTAAAACCTTGTGTCTAGTCTTTGAAATCATTGTTCCTTTCAACTGGCAGGTCTCCAAAACTATCACCATACAAGGACGAGCTGCACTTGCTGCCTAGGGAGCCATTACAGATGGAACAAGGTTGTTCCACTTGCGTGGCTATAAGATGGTGCACACCAGAGGGAGACTGGCATTGAGGAGAGAAAATGATAAACCAATCTTAGTATCTTGTTTTATGAGAAGAGACAGAGGGTTAGATGGGAGGAGGGGATGCCTGGTTCTGGTCCATGTCCTCTCTCCACTGCTTTTTCTGCAGTCTTACATTAACTATTTATAGAATTATTATGAGTTTGTGCCACCCATGTTTTCACTGTGTGACCAAGACATGCAAAGTTAAAAATAAAAAATAACATGAAGTACAACAACTGACGGTCACATGGCCGCGCGTATGTGACACATACAATACTAAAGCTTTTCTGTCTGTGCCCATAAATACATAAAAGAGTGTTCAAATGCTGCAGAGTGTGTGGAAACAGGAAAAGCAAAAACTAACACAACTAACACCTTCCTCTTTTTGTAAATTGACTTGTGGATTTCCTGTTTACAAATGAAGGTGTTTCCTGTGCTTTTACAGCTGATCTGCTCATACAGAAGATCAACCAACCAACCAACCTTTTTGAAGCCTGTCAGCCCCTTTGCCAAGTTCTAGTCACCATAACCAGATCCGATTAAATAAGATTTTGCAATGCACTGCTTATCGCTGTTGCAGGTCTTTGCGTCTTACCGACAGAGGTGGCGTCCCGTCATCTTCCACGGTGACAGTGAGTCGGTACTCTTGCTGGCGCTCTCGGTCAGGAGGGGCCGGCCGCGTCACCATCTCTCCTGTCACACGGTCCATGCGGAAGGTCAGGTCCTGGTTTCCGGCGGTTATGTAGTAAAACAGCATGGCGTTGGGACCGATGTCTTGGTCAGTAGCCATCACTCGGAGGACTGACGTACCTCCTCCAACATTCTGCGATTCACATGATAAAAGAAGCCTCATTAATGATTGCCTGCAGGAGAGCAAATACAAACCTGTGACCGAATAGTAAAATATTTATGGGGGGACTGAAAATCACCACTTGTAGCAGTTCTTATGACATTGTTCGGCTTCAGGTCAAGAAATAGATACATACTAAATTACAGGAACATGTAAAATCAAAGCTAAATGACAACTGGATGCAATGCTCTATGTCAGTGGTTCCCAACCTTTTCCAACTCATGACCCCAATGAATCTAAAAAACTGTTGGCGGCACACATTAAACATTTTTAATAATAATAATAATAACTTCATTTATATGGCACTTTTCAAAATAAAGTGTTGTACATACATAAAAACAAAACAAAGCAATAAAAGAAACAGAGAGAACAAAAAACAAAAAAAAGAAACAAAAAAAAACAAACAAACAAAAGTAGAAACCAAAGATAAAAGCATTAAAATCAAGAAATTAAAAGCTGCTTTATACAAGTATGTTTTCATAAGTGTTTTAAACTGGGGCAACGTTCAGCACGCCTGATCTCCTCTAATGTTTTTAAAACATTATTTAAGTTTTCATATATTACATCTGTTCACCAAAGTTGTTCTGTTTTGCAAACGCAATGCCTTCGCGGCCCACAGGTTGGGAACCACTGCTCTTGGTCATGTGCGAGCGCGCCCCTACCTCGCTTATGCTGACATTGTAGCCCCTCTGGCTTTCAATAACAGGTGCGTTGTCGTTGACGTCCAGGATGTTGATGGTGAGGGAGTGGTCTGTGTGTCTGGGAGGTGAGCCATTGTCACTGGCACGCACCTGGAACAACATACACACGCATTGGTGCATGCCTGTGTGTAGGTCTGACCATGTATGTACACACATGGTATGTTATGACACAGGGGACAAAGCGAGACCCAACATTCAGTCCGGTACTTCTGTGTTTTATCTTGTGTTGAGGGAAGTTGCAGCGTGTCAATAATATTTTGATGACATTATATCAGTTCAAAAACTAAAAAATGGTCACAGATTATTTGATACTCATGAGACTATGGTGTCGAAAAAAAGTTTTATGAATGAAACAAATCTGTTCATCTTAGTGCTGAGGTTAGAAAGGGTTGGGTTGTGGTTGTTCGTGTGTGTGTGAGATATCCTTCCATACAGATATGTGGTGAAAGATGCCATAACTACATATGAATTGCTGCCTGACCTTCAGTAAATAGCGGTCTACTGACTCTCGGTCCAGAGGAGCATTGACATAAACCTCCCCATGGGTGTGGTTCACTGTCTTGATCTTGAACACATCCTCCATGTTGCCTGCCACCAAAGTGAAATTGACCTGAGAGAGAGTAATGAGACAAAGAGAAAGGGGGAGAGAGAGAGACTGAAAGAATGAAAGTATCACATTACATCATTGGCTTAGGTTCAGTCAGAAACTTTAGATCATAAGGTTACCTGGAATGTAGGAGTAGTTTAAAAGTTGTATTTAGCTATGCAGATTCTGAATTTTGAATAAATTACAGCCCAGCGGAGCATGGGAGCCAAGAGCAAATGAATTTATGATTAAGATAGAAAATTAAGAAAACATAACTGAGAGACAGGAGGGGGATGGGTTAGCGGAGAGAGGAAAAAATAGCGCAAGCAAGGTGTAAGAACCTAAGTTATAAAAATAGCGGTGAGAAAAATGTGATGCTGGCGACGTATGGGGACCACTATCCTGAGATGTCAATATCACAGTCAGCTGTTGTGAAACTGAGGCAAGCTTTGGTTGACTCATAGTGCTGTAGTGAAAATGTATAAAACTCAAATGAAAAGGTACACAGACCAAAATGTGAAACATAACTTCTAAAATCTGTCACATTAACTGTTCAGATGCCCGGTGACCTTACTTGCTTCACTTTATCTCATGGACAAAAACTGAAATGATGCATCATTTTCACTGGAGGAACATAAGGTGCCATAAAGTGATTTGGTTTAGTGCTGTAAAGCACTGTAGAAAGGTTGATGTCAAATCAACACGGGGTAAAATGTGTTGTGAAGGCCCGTGTCCTTGTTGTCTCATGTAACTGCAGTAAATACTCCGAAGTCTGTAAACGTGTTGTGGTGATAATTCATGCCACACATACTGCAAGACCTTTAAATTTCAGTCATGTCATGTCCGTGCGAGTCCACTATTTTTCCCATTTTTATTCTTTATTCTCACCAGTCCATTCAGTCCAGCATCTTTGTCCCTTCCAAGCACAACGGCCACTTTTTTCCCCATGGGTGTGTTTTCTGGGATGTCCACTGAAGTATCAGATGTGATGTCAAACTCCGGACTGTTGTCGTTCTCATCCAGAATGGTGATTGAAACCTGTTGAGAGGTAGGATCAAACGTACAGTAGGCTCTACCACAGATCACTGAACTGATACTTACCTTTGAGATTAATCAAACTAAGTTGACCAAATCTAGAAATAAAAGATAAGCACTTCACA